CCGAAATAACCTAATCCAAAAGCCTATATTCGGAAATATAAGCAAAAAAACCTAAATTACACAGCACGATCTGACAGCCACGGACACTTTCGCCACTATTTTTTGAAAACGTATGCTCGAAACCGAAAAAAAATAGTCAATCCCGATAGAGAAAATTCCGCTCTATATTGCTATCTAGAACAAACCTAATCGAAAAGCCCAATTTCGAAAATAGAAACCAAAAAAGTAAATTGCACAGCACGATTTGACAGCCACTAACACTTTCGGCATTATTTTTCGAAAACGCACGCCCGAAACTGAAAAAAAATATCCAATCCCGTTAAGGAAAAAATCACTCTACGCGAATATGTGGAAAAATCCGATTCAAAAAGCCTAATTCAAAAAATAGAAACCAAACAAGTAAATTACGTCGCACGATCTGACAGCCACTGACACTTTCGGCACTATTTTTCAAAAACACACGCTCGAAACCGAAAAAAAAATAACCAGTCCTGTTAGAGAAAATTCCACTCTACGCTGGTATATAGAAAAAACCTAACCGAAATGCCTAATTTCAGAAATATAAGCGAGAAAATTAAACTGTGTGGAACGATTTCACAGGGACTTGCTTTTCCATCACATTATTTCATATATACACCTTCAATCGTAACATAATTGCCCTACCGGTTGGAAAACAATCTATTCTATACAGGAGTAATAACATATCCTAATCCATAATCGAAGTTTAGAATGTATAAGCGATAATACGTAGCTACTTTGAACGTCAAGATTGAAGATAAATTGGAAAAACTGTTAAAAAGCTGTCTATTCAGAGTAATGTTGATCAAATATTCCAACGAACTGTCGAAATCTAGAATCTTCTATAGCCGATAATAACGAACAATGCGGTAGTATCATAGGATACGGCACTCACGCCACTTTATTTCCCAAGTGTATCGTTATACGATTTACACTATGTAACAACTTTTTTTCACATGTAGTATATTACCACCGTAGAAATGTTCACAGTTAGTAATCCTGAATTTCATAAAGTAATTAAGATGTCAATCAGCGATATCACTACTTCACGAAACGTTCTGAGATTTAATGTTTTATTTTGACGCGGGAGAATATTGCACGATGTTACTGTTATGCCCGCTTGCCGCCAACTGGAAGTTGGCTGCAGCCGGATGTGCTAGGTATTTTTGTAGCGGGAAAATGTTGCATCTTTGAAATAGCTATGTGATAGAGTATCGATGTAAAATATCAAACGATGTTTCTTATATTTATTAACTTCGCTGAAGCAAATATAAATACATTTCTGTTACGAAAAATTCAAAATTTCCATAATTAATTCATAAATTTGAATTATTAATTATTCAATTATACTAATGGAAAAATGAACCATTAGTATCTTTGGTAATAGTTCAAACATTCTATGTAATAATCACCAATAATGATTTAAATAACAATGAATTCATATGCAGAATTATATTAGAAATCTTGCTAAGGTAATGTAAAATACTTTTAAAATCAAATTTATTAAAATTTATTATTTATTATTGTAATTCAAATTAGAAATTATTTAACATATTAATATAGAAATTTAGAAAGTAAGTATTGTATATCGGTTAAATTTTTAAAAGCAGATATACAGTCCATTGAAATACTATTAACTAATACTTCTTACTTTACCCTTAGTGACTGGCTCTTGCATATAAACATAACTCATGCTTGTATGTCTCCTATAATAAAAAAAATCCTTCATCAATAATATTTCATATTAAATCTTTAGTAATTTATAAATCAGTCAACCAAATGGTTCTTTTCATGAATAATCATCAGCAGGTAAGACGTACCTTCTATCTCCTTGTAACGTTGGCTTTATTGGCTCAATCAATTCCATAGGTCACAGCCTCATTATTCCTACTGCTTTTATAGTTTCAAAGTTCCTATAGATGTTTCTACACATTTATGCCTTAATGCAACAATTACACTCTATATTCAATTTATTTTTATCTTTTATAATTATTACCAAGTGCTCATTCTCAATCTCTTCAATGATCCTTATATTTACATGTCGATGCCTCATCCTTCTCTGTTGATACATATGCTGCCCCTTTCCTGTTTCTTAATTTGACATAATATGCATTTCCTCTTCTCACTGCTTTCATTTCAATCACTTTCTTTTCTTTATATCCATCATTCTGAAATATAACACATTAGCGATGAACATTGACTTTGATCATTGATATCAATATTTATTCAGATGAAGAACGCAACATACCTTTCAATCTCACAGTATTCTCTATATCTTGTCGTTAAAAGAGGACATGACCTAAATTAATTTCATTCCCTTTTATCTGCTTGAGGCATCTCCCTTTTATGAATGTTTATTTGACCATAAAAGATTTCTGTCTTGTATGTCATATGTTTAGCCGACCTAAAAACCAATAGATATATTAGAACTTACATATTTGTATTATTGTTTCAATTTTTTCTCGCTATAGAATATAATTCTTGGCATCTAATGGCTCTATGCTCGTGATATTCCATGAATCGAATATTTTTCCACTGTTGCACATGCCGGTTTATTTCAACAGAATATTGTTCTTTCACAACCAATTTCTACTATCACTAATAAAAGGTGGAAGAACAATGGCTTATAATTTTCACTATTTAATTAGGAAGACTTACATTCTTTTGCGTCGGAATCCTCGACCGTCCTCGTTGAGACGAAGCTTAAATCGGGTTTCAACATCGATTCATTCCGTCAATAATTTTCGTCGTGTGCAAGGTGTAACGCAAGAGACAACGAACCATCGTTTTAGCGTCTTCTATAACGTAATAAGTAAAATGTAGATTATAATGTAATAGCATTTCGTAATTTGGTAGATGGATTTTGTACATGGATGTGATCGGAGACCTGAATATGAGAAATTGTCGAATAGGCCAGGGAAGAGTGCAAAAGAGAGGATATGGTGCCAACAACACGCGGAGTTCCCAAGCGGTCACTCATCTAAGTACTATCCGCGCTCAACCCAGTTTAACTTTGGTGATCGGACGAGAACCAGTGCGTTCTGAGTGGCATGGTCGTTGACGGAACCCTAGTACATTTCACTGTTTGCCGATTTTGCAGCCGTACGTTCCGACAGAGTGGTGTCGCCAAAAGGTTACCAGTCGCGTGATACACGGCTATTATAAACTAGCCAGCCTGATTATTCTGTTGATGGTGTAGCGAGTGAGGATATACAACGAGGTGTCGTTGTTACATTTCATTAAAGATGGATGTTGCTGAACGACAGGCTGAAGAAAAGGTAGACTGCGACTCATATTGTCGTTTCATTTTGTCAATAATAATTATCGTCTCTGACGCGTAACGACATAGACAAACTGTCTAGGTCGTAGCTTCTGTTATAAAGTAGTGGGAAAAATGTCGGCTGCAATGTCAATAAAACGTCGTTATTTGACAGGTGTACGTAGATCTGGTCCAGGAATTGAATACGAGAAACTGGCGAAGACGGAGGAAAAAACTGCAAAAAAGAGAATGATGCCAACAACACGCGGAGTTCCCAAGCGGTCACCCATCTAAGTACTATCCGCGCCCAACCCAGTTTAACTTTGGTGATCGGGCGAGAACCAGTGCGTTCTGAGTGGTATGATCGTTGACGGAAACCTAGTAAATTTCACTGTTTGCCGATTTTGCGGCCTTACGTTCATTTTTCTATGCAATTTTTTAAAGCATGGTAGGTAGAGTTCCGGCTGGCCCATACAACGATTACAGTAGGTTATTACCTTTTCAGCTTTATTTGCGGCATACTGCAAAAAATTATTGAACTTTATACAAAAAAAGAAATAGTCATGCATGTTTGTCGGAGAACCATGACGCGTGTAAGGAACACGCAGAAAGCTTTAGTCGTAAATTATGTCGAGTGCGAACGACAATTTTGTCGAAGCCCCGACTGACGATTTCCAGGCCCTGGCACTTGAGGCACGAGTAGCTGTACGGAAAAAACCTCTAAGGTACGAGTAAATGGGACTCTGCACTAGAGTTTTGTTTCCAGGGTTGCCGAAGAAAGATTTACTGCCGGGCTAAGTGACAGAGGACCATCGCGCGATTTTCCAGAAATCGGTTCCCTTTCCCTTGGTCGATCGCGGGCCTTGGGGTGGGATTCAGCTAGGCGAACTTTGACATGCCTCTGCCCCATCGGCAGCCCAATTAGACGTTTAGGACCGCCCGAATTTTGAGCGAAATCGGTGACTTTGGGGGAACGAATACGCCCCAGCCAACACTTTTTGTATATATAGTATGCGACCTAGTAATTGGGAATGATTATTGAGAATTTAGACAACAACGCGAGGTTTACTGACAGTTTGGAGTTGACGCCAAGTGAAGAAGAGTGTGCATTGGAAGTATTGTGGTTTGTGAGGAGTTCCTATGAGTTGCGAGGTCAGTTGAGTTCTGACAAAACGAGTTTCCTTAGGACACATTTCTTCCAGTAAGTGTAAACGTAGCCAAAATTTTCTTTTCTTCTAGAAAGGCGGTTAGCATTTTTCTTTCTTAATTTTTGTCTATGTTCATCTAAATAATAGATAAATCCATGGATATGGAGAGCAGTGATTCATCTGATGAATCAATCATTGGAAGCAGGAGAAATGTACAACGGTCGCAAATAATCTCAACTTCTTCAGAAGAGGCAAGTGTGACGACAGCCGACCTGAATCATCGACATGACTAGACTTCCAAAATCCTGTGAAATCAGCCTACATGAATCACCAGACGACCGAAACCCCTAACTCCAAATTCCAAAATCCAACCCCTTCCAAACCATCCAGGACAAGATAATAAGAACATATATATATCCCAACCCAAAACCAGAATAAAGTCAGTCTAACTCTAAACCTATGCACGTTCTTTTTTCTATACGGAGAGTATCTCGCGTAAAAGCCTTCGTGAACTATTTTCACTCGCGTGTCTAAGGTAGTCCCGTGACACAAGCATTGACAGCGAATCGTTAAGTATGGAACTGGACGAAAATTCCACGGAAGAAAAAGATTCCGACTCAGATTTAAAGGAAGAGGATCTTCATGACGAATGGCAGGAAATAAACGAAGGAGATGCAGCCACGAGTGAATGTTGGGAAGAGGAAGAATTATTAATTGATGACATCGACTGCGACGACCCTGTTTCACTATACAAGTTATTCGTCATAGATTATATACTAGCTATAATCATCGAGGGAACAAATAAATACGCTACACAATGTATGAATAACTCAGCACCTAGCAGCAGAGGGCACCAACAGGCCTGGACACCTGTTACAAAAGAGGAGATGAACACGTTTATTGGCATTTTGCTTATCATGAGTATAGTACGGCTACCCGAAATAAATTCAATATTGAAATACTTACATTTTTCCGATAATTCCATCATTACAACTGAGAACCGTTTATATAAACTCCGAAATATTGTTGATGCAATTTATTTTATTTAAAAATACTATAAATCGACGAAATCATGGTTCCGTGGAGAGGGCGCCTCAGTTTTCGGCAATATATTCCAGGTAAACACCATAAATATGGCATAAAAATTTATAAACTGTGTCTTCCGGAAGGGTACACTCATAATATTTATATTTATACCGGAAAATATGAAACCCCAATAATAAAAACTCATGCGCACGATGTAGTGATCAGATTAATAGAAACATTATTATTTGAGGGTCGCACATTATTTACCGACAGTTTTTATACCAGTGTCCCTTTAGCCGAGGACCTTTTGCAAAAAGGAACGTTCATTTGTGGGACAATAAAGATGAATAAAAAATTCCTACCGCGGCAAGCAAAGCAGAAACAAAAACGGGGTGGCTTTATCTCTTTGCAAAATCGGAGCGGCGTGAAATTTTTGAAATGGACAGACAAAAGACCAGTATGCATGTTAAGTACTACAAAAAATCATAAATGTGTCACAGTTCGAGGGAAACATAATAACCTAAAACCGGACACAGTTTTTTCTTTATAATGAAGCTAAGAAGGGAGTTGATTTATCGGATCAAATCTCTTCGTACTATAGTTGTTTCAGAAGAACGGTAAAATGGCATAGAAAAATCGTTATAGAGTTAATAAGCGGGACATCCCTTGCGAATGCATGGTATATGCACAAAAAATGGGGCACTAAAAGAATTTCAATTTTAAAATTTCGAGAAAAAATTATTAATTATCTCTTAAATACAATGAATCCCCGCTGCGAAGAAACGCGCAGCGAGAATGAAGTAATGACAAAAGAATATTCGCATTTTCTGAAATCGTACGAAGGGCCCGCGAGAGAAAAGGGATAGCAGTGCAAAGAATGCTATAAACACATGACTAAAACTCATAATTAATTTATGAATATTAGTTTAACCGCTATTGCTGGTACTAATTCTATCACTATTAAAATTAATTTCCGAATTTCATTTTCATTAATTGTTTCAGAAATTAAACACTAATGTAAATTTATATTTTTAATATATAAAGTAGGCAGTATGCCGCAAATAAAGCGAAGAAGGTAATAACCTACTGCAATCGTTGTAAGGACCAGCCGGCACTCTGCCTATGTTTTAAAAAATTACATAAAAAAATTAATTAATTATATTTAGTTTATAGTATTGAATTTTTATGTTTCTAGTATTGAATATTTGTTCATAATGTTGAAATAAAATAACATAAACCTATTTTGTATTAAATATTCTATGAAACATAAGCGTGACCCACCGTGATGGTTCGCGGCTCTCTCATGATCAAGTCGGATGCTGGATTTATTGGCTGTGGAATAAAAGGAGACACCTTGGTGGTTCCTATTCGAAGCAGTCTTTATAGGATATGATCGCCCCCTGCGCGAGGAATCCTCGATCCGAGGATTCTTTCGGTGGGTATCGTGAAGGAATCCGGTACTATATGGAATTTCTGGTTAGAGTCAAAGACTTCGATCTCCGTAGATCCCATGGTCCTTACTTCCTCCTTGGTGATCCCATGGAGATTGAGCTTTCCTAGTTTGTTAATCTTTACGGAAGGGCGGATTGCTGATTCTTTCATTAAGTTTGGCTCAGCACCGGTGTCTATCATCATCCGGGTTGGTCTTGATAGTTGCAGGATCTCAATAGAGACGCTCGGAATGCGTGACAACCCGGCGACAGCGGGGTTAGCGATTATTGTTCTGCGCTCGTGGAGGGTATCGGGGTCGCTTTTACGATGCGAACTCCCCGGTTCTGTTCGCGGTCCCCGCGTTGGGAGTTCGCGTTTGACGAGAGGGGCCGGTCGTTTCCCTGTTGTTGCTGCTCGTGCCGGGCGCGACGGCGGCATTCGTGAATGTCATGTCCGGGGATTCTGCAGAAAGTGCAATACCGATTCTTGGGGTTTCTTGGAACGCGGGGTCTATCGTCTTGGTGCGGCACGGATTGTGAAATTCTGCTGGTCTGCGGGTATACTGACCGGAGGGGTTCGCGATGGGCGGCGGGGGTCGCGCACTGCGATAGGGTTCCCGGTTTCGTGGTGGTGTACTCTTGCTGTCTTTTTGAATAGTCCGTAGTATTCCCTGTCAGAGTGGTGTGATTGGGGGGGTAGGTGATGCGTCTCGTCTTATACCACTCGGCGTCATCCTCTAATTCGAGGGCCAGCTCTGCCGCGATGTCGAATGCCTGGAGGATGTGGTCTGGGTTGCGTCGTCTCAATTCTGTCCGCAACCGTGGATCGATACCTCGGATGAAGCACGAAAGGGCGAGTTCGTCGATTCTCCGCACGTCGACGTGATCATAATACTCGAGGATGGCGTTCCTCAGATCCTTGACGCGGCTTACGTAGTCTAAAACGCTCTTTCACAATTGTCCTCGGTATAGGTAAATGAGCGACATATTTATGATTTTAAATTATTTGTATCGTAATGAACATTTCATATGATGGAATTATTTAATTTATTATAAAAAGTATATCCCGTAATTTAAAAATATTTTTGTAGATACTGTTAAATACATTAATTTGTTTATTTAACTCTGTTGTCTTGTTTTATAAAACTGACAAAAATATTCTATTATCAAAATAAAGAAAGTTAACAATACTTTAAATTTAACGATATTTTCTTGCAACATGGGGGGAAAGTGGAACACAGGACAATACACAAAACACGTGGCTGCGTTCCTTAGAATTATTCCAAATGCCTGACGACAAATAGTGACTGGGAGCCACGTTAAGATTGAATGTCAAAGGACTTTATAGGGTTAAAAGATTTATGGCAGGAAACGAGCCAAGAAGATTTTTGAAAATAAAAGTCCTTTGTTAAACTTAGAAGCAAAGAAAAAGTGACTCTGTTAGAGATCACTGCAGTGCACAAACTAACAGTTCTCCAAGAGCAATCTACGAGTGAACAACATTGAGCAAGAATTTTTATATACAGAACTTTTTATTTAATAGTCGTAGTACTCTTATTTTATTCTGTATCAAGTATAATATTACCACTTAGTTTAGTTTAGTTTAATTTAAGTTGCAGTTATATATGTGTAGTTATAGCGATAAATAACAATTTTGACATTTTTGACAATTTTTTATGCGTTAATGTGTGATAATTGTGCAATCAAACCGGAAAATATGGTCGCACGGAAGAAGGGACAAACAATGCATAGTGAAGCAAGAAATATGGCAAAGAGGGTTCTTGACAAATATCATGAAGAAGCAAGGAAGGGAGAACTTCTCTATCCAGTACGACAAACCACAACGCGTGCAAGCAGATTATGTTGATGTTTCTGAAAGAACAATCTGCAGAAATAGAAAGGAAGCCTCTATATTGGGAGAAGAATTATTATCATCATCAGGTAAAAAGCGCCCACGACACACGGAGAAAAAATTTCATTGCTCTGAGGAACAGAAGAAAATAATAATTTTCAATGATTGTTCCGACAGCTCCCAAATTGTTAATAGCAATACGGGAAAAAATGTATTTTCCACGAACGAAAGACACCCTTTATAGACTTTAAAAAGCCTAGGATATGAATATAAGAAAAGCAACAACATCGGGAAGATCTTGATTGAAAGGCCAAACATTGTTAGTCGGCGAATAAAGTATTTAAAGGCTTTAAATTATTATAAAACAGAAAGACGGAATATTATATATTTGGACGAAACATGGGTTGACAACAGTTTGTGTTTTGGAAAATGCTGGCAGAATGAAGACACACTACGGGTTTTAAAAAATCCAAGTGCCTTTCGTCGTTCAATAGTAGTTCACGCAGGAGGAAAAAGTGGATCTGTGGATGGGGCAGTTCTTATATTTAAATTGAGATCAACGACAGATGACTATCACGGTCAAATGAATGCATATAACTTTGAAAAATGGATTAGGGAAAACTTACTACCCAACATTCTACCAACTACCGTAATTGTCATGGATAATGCCCCATACCACAGCGTACAACTAAATAAACCATCATCGTTATACTCGACGAAGAAAAGTATGATAGCGTGATTAATAGAAAATAATATACCCCATGTTGAATAAATGAGGAAATCGGAACTATCGGAACTCATAGAGCGGCATGAAAAATTGGAAAAGACTTATAAAATTGACGAACTTTTAAAAACACATGGTCACAGTGTATTGAGACTGCAACCATATTCGTGACCACCATATATGTCCATAAGGCATTATAAATTTTAGAGAGGTTAGAGAAGAATATTGAGCTGGATTCTAGCGATAATTGTAGTAGTTTATTTGTGTTAAGATAGCAACTGCAAATCGCTAGCTATATGTTGAAAGTTTGTGTATCTAGACATAGGTATGTCATCTAGGTCGGTTGGCATTTTGGACACCTTTTGTTTTTTTCCTGACTACCATTAATGTAATAGCAGAGACCAGAGAATCGTTGTACCGCTAACACGTGTTGTGTAATAAAGAATTATAAAAGTAATACCACTACGAGTGATTTATTAAATCAAAGAATTTTAACAATGTGATATATTGTCTGGGCTCAAAATGGAGTTGGTCATTGGGAGAATATTCTTTATTTCGTCAATAGTTATCGGAGAATTAAATTCGGAGTAAAAGAATCATTGTTATGCCTGCAATTATGATTTAGAAACCTTATAAGTTCGTTTGTCAGATTTTATATACGATATACATATTTTTAAAACATTTGAAGTTTGTACCTCATCATTTATTCATTTACGATATCGTTGATGATTTATATGTTTCGTATTTCCTTGCATAATTAGGAACAAAGGAAATATATTTCTAAACGTCTATTGTTTATTTTTTATTCCCACTGTATACAACTATTAACATCATTTAAGATAATAATCTAATCTTTATCAATATGAAATAGTAACTGGTCACGATTGACTTCACGATGCTAGCTATGTATGTGGCCGTGATATGACCAAATTAATTATGGGATAGTAATAAAAATTTTGAGATGACCTAAGCGATTGTTAATGAGGATTAATTATAACGATTAAATTATACATGCAA